CATCTGACTTAAGAAAACTGCAGCTGTGTATGGGAAATCACGTCTGTGGCTCACTAGCTTCTTGTGTGACCCCCCCTCTGGCAGCACGGAGTGTGTGAATCCGCTGCCACATTGTTGCTTGCAGGATTAGGTGGTTGTTCTTCAGGGATAGATAGTCTGGAGGTTTCTAGATTAGCTAGGCCTTGTGCTTTTTAGGCAATTTTAGGTGCATGTTCTTGTGGTGTTTCAAAGGGTGTGTCTACACGACCGCCTGGAATAGCTATTCCGTGACTTAAGAGCAAGCCCGTTACATTGAAATATAATGGGATCGCTACTCTAATGTCCCTGAAACCTCATTGCACAAGGGACGTTTTGGAAGAGTGCTTTATTTCAAAATAAGATTGAAATAAGCTATGCAGTTTGCATAGGATGAATTGCATAGCTTATTTCGAGGTAAGGGTGCAGTGTAGGCGCACCCACGGTGGTATGTACTTTGTACCAGCTCCCAGCCCGCAAATCTCTCTGAACAGTCACAGCGGGGAGGCAGGGAGAAGTTGGTGAATATTTTTCTCCAGGCGTATTGGAAGCGCGGAGCCTTTGAACACAAGCATGGCTAACAAACCCCAAATCCATAACCTTACAAGATGTTGGAAGTCAGCTGTGTGCTAAGAGTGCTCGCATGGCTCTGCTTTTCTGCTCGCATCCCCGCCAGGGGGATCAAATTCTCAGTTGGGGTCAGTCACTACTAGGGAGATGAGAACCCGGCCCACTGAGGCGGGCTGTATGAGTAAGTGTGGCAGGAGCGGGCCCGTCATTTCCTATGAAACCTGGCTGGTCGTTTCCGGCCCAGGTATTGTGCATGTGACTGAGCATTTCAGGAATGCACGTTGGATGCTGGGAAATATTTGATTTTCCCTTATACGGGGACGCCTGTAGGATGGAGAGTTCGTCGGGGTATTCTATATCGGAGGCTTAGACGCGGGCTGGAAAGGCTTTCGAGAGATCGCCTACCTAGTTCATCCCCTTCCATAATGAGGTAGGACCACGCACCCCTAGACCATCCTTCACAGGCGTTTGTCCAACCTGTTCTTTAAAACCGCTGATGGAATCCCACGCAGACTCCTTAGGCAGCTTGTCCTCTTCTTTAACCTGCAGCAAGGGATATTTAGGATGGCTAGACAGAGAAAACTCTAAGTCTAAGGATAGCTAAGCCAGTTATTTCCTCTATATCTCAACACCTCCTCATCCCCAGCTGCCATTTCAGGGTTACACAAAACGTACGTATTTCAAGTTCTATGGATCCCTGGAAATTGCCGGGTGGGAGATGTTGCCCTCTGGAACGTTCCTACCTGAATTAAAACCACCTCCAGTGAGTGGACTGGCTGAAAAGCACATTGGAATCTGGGTCAGAGTAGGAATGAAAAAAAAGAAAAGATCAGTGACCTAAGTCTGGCAAATCAACTGGGTTCCCATTTCTGCATCTTGTACTTGGACAGGCCAGATCCTCCGCAGGTAGCAATCACCGTAGCCCCATGGAAGTGGATGTAGCGATATTGATTTACACCCAGCGTAGCCTCTGATGCGTACTCCTCACTCCAAGCCCTCGAATCATTGAGCCATACGGCTGGAAGGGAGCAGTGCTCAAGGGTCATCTAGTCTAACCCCGACCAAGTTGCAGGATTTGATGTGTCTACGCCATCCCAGACAGACGGCCCTCCGGCCTCTTTTTGAAAACGTCCCAGGAAGACGCATCCATGACTTCCCAAGCCAGTTTGTTCCATTGTCCTGCTGTTCTTATAGTTGGGAAGTTGTCCCTGAGCTTCGGTTTAAGTCTTTGGAACTCACCGCCTTGTGCACTGCCCTCTGTGGCGAGAGAGAACAACTTTCCCCTGCCACTTTTACGGCAGCATTTCGAGTATTGAATCCCCCTATCCTAGCTCGTCTTTTCCAAACGGGACATACCCAGTTCTGCCAACTGCTGCACTGCAGCCTTTGATCATCTCTGTGGCTCCTCTCTGGTTCCTTTTTGGTTTCTCCACCTCCTTTCTAGACACTGGTGACCAGAATCAAACAGAGTAGTCCAGATCTTTCTGCATTTTAGCTCTGTCCTCCAACGTATTAGCCGCCTCCGATCTTTGTGCTATATGCAAATGTGCTCAGTACCCGTTCTATTCCTCCATCCAGGCCATTGGCAAAGATGCTAAACACCCCCAGATCCCTGGGGAACTCCACTTGAGATCTCTCCCCGATCTGACATCATTCCATGAATAGTGACTTGGCAGATGCTTACCAAATTATGTGCCCACTTATAGGCGTGGTGGAACAGCTTGTATTTCTCCAGATTGCTGACTTCTCCAGCGAGCAGCAGATCTTTGTGTCTGACACAACGACGACCCCCTTCCTGTTGTCTCTAGTATTTCTTGCCAGCTGTAACTCACTCTTTGCCTTGGCTTCCCAGATGTTTGTCTCTACACACTCATGCTACTCCCATGTATACGTAGTGGTGTGCCTCTCCTCTTACTTCCTGCATGTAGCCCGCTGCGGGTTTAGATGGCTAAAAAGCTCCTTGTGCAGTTCCATTGGCCTCCCATGGCTCTTTTGATCTTTCCTCTGCGTTGGAAAAGCTTGATGTTGGACTTGTAGTATTAGATCTGTGAGGACTTGCCAACCCTCATGGTCTCCTTTTCTTCCTAACTGGATTTTCCCATGGGACCTTGCCTACGATTTCTGAGTCGGTTGAAATCCACTGACTGCCAATGTCCTTGTTTTGCTCTTCTCATGCCCTCCTTCCCATAGGTCCCTGAATTCTATCAGACCACCATCATTTCTTCCCAAGTTCCCAGCCACCTTCCCATACCCGACTGATTCAACCCCCTTGCTCAATCCCACATCCAAAATGGATGACCCTCCACCAGTGGTGTCCTTAACCTTCTGATCTAGTAAGTTGTTTCCAGGACCTGTGTTTTGCTGCGATAGCCTTCCAACAGATGTCAGGGAAATCGAAATCCCCCATTAATACAGCTCGTGTGTGTTGGCGAATCTTGGCGAGAGAATGGATCTGAATTTGCCCTCGGTTATACCTGGGTGGATTGGAGCAACCCAGTGATTTTCAATGGTGCTCCGTTACTGGAGTAACTGGGAGCAGAGCGTGGCCTGGTAAATGAAAGGGGTCGGGTCAGCTGGGTGTACCTCCCTGTGGCTGTCTCTTTTCGTTCAGCTGCCCACAGCCAAATGGTTCGCTCCCTGCTCCGGTAAAATGCCAATTAACTCTGCCAGGAGCTTTGCCCAAGACTGGATGGAGTGAGAGCTACAGGCTAGTTGGGGGTTGTGCAGCCACGAATAGTGGGTAGGCCACAGCAACCCACGGTCCCTGCCGCCCTCCCTGGTGCGCCTCTCGCACACCAGAGTCCTGCACTTACCTGCTCCTCCCCGCGCCCTCCCAGAGCTGGAACGCTGCGACCAGCAGAGAGGCACGTGGGGGGGAGAAGAGTGCCTAGTGGGTCACTGGGCTGCAGGTGAAGCCTCCTGGGCTAGTTAGATGGAGAGTTGGGGAAATACATGAGCAAGAATCATTTTCCTAATGGCCAGGAGATGGCAGCAGTGAGCTGTGTAGGTCTCATTGGTCTGACTAGCTGAGCTCTCTGCCTGGAGAGGGTACTCTTAACATGATCTCTTTCACACACACACACACACACACACACACACACACACACACCCCCCCTGCCGGTGCGAATGTGTGTAACTCTCTACCCGGGCACCTCTTGTGTTGCAGCCAGCAGATGCAGCTCCTGCCAGTGCGGAGCCAGCTGGGACGGACGCGGCTCCTGCCGGCGCAGAAGCAGCGGTGACCGAAGGCGCTACCGGAGCAGAAGCACCTAAAACGGAAGCCGACTCAGGATCTGCTCCTGTAAGAACGTAGGGAGAGGTGGGCCTGGTCGCTCCCATCCTGCCTTTAATCTGGGGCGGAGGGCACCCATGACAGAAAGGGGGCCGTGAAACAGACCAGGCCTCCTTCCTCGAAATGATCGGAAACGCAAGTCCCCGTTCGCAGGCCAGACTTGTTCTTGTCATGCTCCCTCCCTGCCCCCGGGACGCTCACTCTGAGCTTACTGCGCGGAGCCTGTTACTTCACTTTGCTTCCTCCATGTCTCGGGGCTGGAAGTCGACTGGGAGTGGAGACACGTCCCTCTCCCACCAGCCAGGGCTGTCTTAAGGACGTGTGTGGGACCTTGCGCAGTTCTGTTAAACCTATGCCCCATGGCAGCTAGGGAATCCGTATTGTAGCGCTGTGATTTTATAATCTTCAGCAACACCCCAATGAAATAGTTTTAAAGCCCATTTGAAACACTGGTCCTGTCGACTCACCCAGTAAGTTCAGACGCCGGCCGTCTATGCCTGGGGCTGGCGCTTGCCTGTCAAATGGCTTCATTGCCACGGGAACGGCTCTGTCCCAGGGTCCGTGTTGGCTAACGGCTCGGGCAGGCTGTGCCCCTTGTCAGCTCGCTAGGTCCTCTCCGGAGGAAGCAGAGCCGCAGACCCCGGGGTAGGAAGAGGCAGGGGGATGGACATTAAGACCCAGCGGTGCCCTAGATTTTCAGGTGCCCCACGCAGCTGTGTATTCTGCATATCGGTAAGATGGCTCTGGCACCGCTGCTTGCTCACGTCACTGCTGTGAGCGTGGCGGGGCTCCCTAAATGCTAAGTATCGCCAGGCAGATCCGACGCTCCCTAGAGAACACAAAGACGCTCCCATAGTCCCTCCGAATTAGCCAGACCAGCTCCATCCCCCACGCTAAGCTCACCCAGCTCGTTTAGCTCCTTCCAAGCCTCGGTCTCTCGATCGTATCAGCCCCCTTCTCGGCTCTCCCTTCCGCTGCAGCCGTGGCGCTGAGCTGACACGGGGGGGGGGCGAGCGTGTTGGGAAACCCACTGGCAGGCTGAATGGAGGGAGCTGTTCAGACGGTCCTTTCTCAGTGCTGCTTTCTTTCCTTTCTCCCCTCCTCCGCCTCCCCGCCCCTCCAGAGTTCCCTGCCTGCTGTCGTGGTGGAGACCTTCCCGGCCACCGTGAATGGCACCGAGGAGAGCCGCGCCACCTCCGAAAGGGCCGACATGCCCCCAGGCTTCCTGTTTAAGGTAGGCGCGTGCGTGGGGCGGGCCACGTCGGGCCGGCCTCTCCCTGCGACCACCAGATCTTTCACCCAGTGCTGGGGCAGCTGAGGAGTGTGGAATGGGAAAGCCACTGGCCACATGGGGTCTCTTATGGCACCCAGCAGTGGGGCCGGCCGGAGCCACGTCGGCCTCTCCCATCCCAGGCCCAGGGGTTGGAGAAAGCTCGAATCCCTGCAGGGGAAAAGGTAAGAACAGCTGCTGTAGACTCCGGTGCCCTGCTTCCCTTGGCTCATGCCACTCGCTTGCCTTGCCCGGAGAACTCAGCGGGCTCCCGTCTGCCGAGAGCAGGGGATCTGCGCAGGTCCTTTCCGGGGGAAGTCGAGTGACCGCCTGTGTGTGACCACGGCCCGACCCTCGAAGGGATAAAGAGCCCGGCTCCCTCCGAAATTAGTGGGTTTTGGGGCCTGAATTCTGCATGGAATCCGGGCTGAACAGGTTTGGGTGAAGCCGGCACCAGCGGGCAGGAAGTGTTGCGATTCGAAAGCTCTGCCCCAGGTTGTGATCGAGAGCCGGGCGGGCACTCCTCAGAGTCCTCGTGTCTCCTAGGTGCAGGCCATGCACGACTACGTGGCCACGGACAACGACGAGCTGCAGCTGAAGGCTGGGGACGTGGTCCTGGTGATTCCGTTTGACAACCCGGATGAGCAGGTGAGGCTGGGGGAAGGGAGGCTGGCCGGGGACGGGCCCGATCGCGTCACCCTTCGCCGCCTGGGGCCTGTTGCTGGCAGCTGGCCGGAGGGCTGGCTTGTCTTGGGTCCTGCCGAAAAGTCTGCCTGGCTATAGGCACGGGAAGGGGAGTGCAATGGGGGGCCCTTGACCACACCCCATTCCTCTCCTGCTCCCTGTCCTAAAGTAGCCAGGGCTTCCTCCTGCCACAGAGCAGCGGCTCATCTCTCACGTGGGCACTTCCCATGCTGTTCCGGCATCGGCCAGCAGGGGTCACTACTTGGCTAGTGGCCCCGCGTGGTCGTGGGAAACTGGTGGAGGGATGGGCCGGTGTGGACCGAGGAGCCTGGAGGGGAGGCTACCCAGCAAAGCGAGCGTTGTGGCTTACGGACGTGGCATTACACCGCCCAGCTCCGGCGTAGACTCACCAGAGTGGCGCCCACCCCGAATGGGGAACCCACCTCCTGGCCACAGCACAGCCGTGCCCCACAAAGAATCAGGCCCTGCGGAGCTGCGCCAGTCCACACCCGGCGGGGACGGTTTGGTGCTGCTCTCATGCCACGGCCCAGCAGGTGTCAGCACAGGCTAAGGGCTAAAACAAAACGCTCATCCCTGCGCCACTGGATCCCGGAGACCCTCCACGCCAGGGACCCTACGGGACCACTGAGGTCCCCTCCGCCTGCACTGCCTAAAAAATTAACCCGTCCCCTGGTATCTGGTCCCTCTCTCTGCCAGGATGAAGGATGGCTGATGGGCGTGAAAGAGGCCGACTGGCTGCAGCGTAAGGAACTTGACCAATGTCGGGGGGTTTTCCCGGAGAATTTCACAGAGCGGGTGCAGTGAGAGCCCGGCGCGCCCAGCTGATTTCTCTGCCAGAAGAAAGCAAGTTTTCCGAGAGGCGTTTTCAAAGCGAAAGAGAATTTTAAAGGAACATAAGCCTAGAAAAGTGTCAACGTAAAGGTTGGAGTCTTCTCAGAGAGCAAGGTTTTAGCAGTAAATTGAATTCAAAGTGTTATTAAAATATATACATACTAGTAAGACAGGTCAAATACCCCTTTCCCCCTTTGATTTGACAGCATTTGAATTCCGAGGCAGATGCAGATGTGGCTTAGTGTGGTACCACTACCTGTTGTGTTAGCTGAATTTTGGGGATGTCAGTCTGATATCAGAAGAGGAAATAGGAGTCTTTGTGGATCTAGGCCTAAGCTAACTGCCACTGAAATCAACTGAAGTTAGGATCTTAAATATCTGTGAGAATCTGAGCCCCACCGTCCAATGCTCTGAGCCTAGAAGCAAAGATTACTCACGGGTGGGGTGTGTGGTGAGGGGGGGATTCAGCTGTTTTGTGATCTAGGTGGCTGACATGGCATCCCTAAAGTTTCAGGCACTGCACATGTTACGACCTATGATAGGCCAAATGTCCTGTTATGCTGTTGAAAAGACATATTTAGTGTACAGTGTTTGCCAATATGACGTGTGCGTGTGTGTGTGTGTTTTCTTCCTTTGAAGATGTAACATGAACTGTGATTTTATACCTTTAAAAGCAAGCATACAAGAAGTTATCAGGAAGAGTGCATAGGAGATTGACGTGTGTGGCTGGGCTTGGTCCAAAACTCTTCCAAGCCTAGGAGCTGGCCTAGACCTACAGCTCATGTCACCCTGGGAAGTATTCTTGAAGGAAAACGGGGAAACTGGCAAACAGAAGAAGAAAAATCGGAAACTTTGGCTTTGTTCAAACTAGCTGTGAACGAATCCTCATCATAAAAAAAGTCTGTTAATAAAGCAGGAAAGTTTAGTTAGGGAGGTTAGGGATGGTCTTGGGATCTGGCTGCTTAGAGCAGTTTTAGGAGAAAACAGAGGGTCGGAGACATACCACTGAGAAAACAACTCTGCTTTCTGTGTTTACGATTGTGCGTTTTGTTTTTCCTTTCTTGAACTCTGCACGTGAAATATTGCTAGACCTGCTCCTTCCAGTCCTGGACAGGTGAACAAGTTGAAGTCCGAGGAAAGTGAACGACATGAATTCTTATGTGAAATTGCTGGTTGGCTTTATGATGTTAGCGTTTGAGGCAAACCTATCCCAACATCAACATAGATGCTCCAGGACGTGACTTTTCCCCCACAATTCTTTGCTCCTATTTGCTTCCACTAAAACAAACTCCCAGAGCCAAACAGGCTGCAGGGCGGTTTCAAAGTGGGTCTTATGTTTGTCAGTGTCAACAGCTTTGATTTCCCCGAGATACGAAAGTCCCATGAAGGTACTTTAAATGCTACTTGAATGCTGATGCAGTTTGCAAGCAGACCCGTTCTTTTACCCCCGCTTCCCGCCCCAAAGCTCCTCCGACTTCTTTATGCCTTGACGAGGTTGGAAGGTGCAGCTCCCTCCTACATACTGGGACACAGTATGAGTTAACACTCTCACGTAAAATAAGCGGGTTTTAGCAAAGCATGCACAAAATGCTGGAACATTTAGTCCTCCAAAAAAGGCCACCTTTTTGGATCTTGCATGTATGATACCCGGAAATAGCCCTCTTGTAGGCCAAAAGTGTATGCGTATGTGCGCAAAGTGATTGGTCGACTTGTGATCTGAAGCTATGTCTACGCTGTGTTTTTGTTTGCAGAAGAGGATATGCAAATGGCATGCTCATTTGCATATCTTCTGATTCTTTTTGCGGAAGACGTTTTGCCGATTTAAAAAAACCCGGTGTAGACGGGGCCATGTGGGGGGGGGGGAACCCTTTTTCGCAAGATCCCTTAGTCCTTAAAAATCGAGGTTTACAAGATCTTGCGATAAAGGGTTTTTTTCCTCTTTCACAAAAAGAATCGGAAGATATGCAAATGAGATTCCATTTGCATATCCTCTTCGGCAAAAAAAAACCCGCAGTGTAGACACCGCCTCAGTTATGCTGGTGTAAATTCAGGAACACCGGCTTTACTCTGGATTTACACAGTGACCGTAACTAACACCCATGGAGTCACTCGGGTTTCATACTGGTGTCACAGATTAAAATCTGGCTCATGTCACTAGATTCTCTAGTGTGGGTGTATGGAGGAGGAATTGCATCTGATTACTCTTTTCCCCTTTTCCTCCTTCCATGCTCCCATTACAAAAAACACTCTTCTAGCCGAGAGTAACTGCTCAGAGCACAGCTGTTCCGTGCTGCGAGCCATAGAATATGATCCTATAGTTTTAATCAGAGATGCCTTGACCATCTGACCTAGCAGTTTGTCCTTTCAAAATCTCTATTTTTATGCATTTGTAAATCCAGTTGCTCCCTCAAAGAGCAATGTCAGGGAAAAATGATAAAGAAATGTCTCTATATAAAAGAAGCGGGTTGACTCACTTAACAGCAAGCTCTTGGCTTAAATGTGCTTATTTTTATGCCGAACCCTGTGGATGATTGGGGTTTTTTAAAGAGAACAAGATTATAACTCCCAGCGCTATAGTTTGTCCCCCAAGTCCTTGTTTTATTAGTGACTGGTCCCTTTGGAAGCTGTGCTGACTTCTAATTTATTGTACTATTGTGGGGGTGGGGAGGGGTGGTCTTCTGCTGTGTTTGAACCAGACCGTTGTTACAAAAGAAATCCTTCTGCTGCCTTTTCATTGTGTGGGGCGAACCAAGCACGTGTCCAGTACTGTATTGTCCCTGCGGATGTGAAACCGAACCTCTGCACAACAGGGGAGGCAGCAGTTAACTCTGGTTAGTTTCAGCGCTGCTGGGCGGGGAAAGCTCCCGCCTCCCCCACTCGTGAAGAAATCTGCCCAGAGCAGCCCGAATGTACCGCCCGCACCCTAGCGAGGTCTGCATCCAGCACACCCACTCCAAGGTCAGAGCCACCTGTTGTAAACTTCCCCGGGCACCGTCGCTCCAGAGTAGCAGAAAGCCCTCGAGTCCCTGGGCCAAGCCAGCCTGGGGTAAGCCGATGCTGCTCCATTTATTTCACTGGAGAGATTCGCCCCAGGGCTGGATTTGAGCCTGCCCCATGAAAAGAGCTCGCAGGCCCCCAGCGCGGCGCCCCTGCATCCAATGGGCCAATCGTTCCCCCGCATGCATGGGGGAGGTCGAGGGAGCGGTCGAGGGCCGACACGTCGGCTGGTCCTGGAAGAGCTGCTGTCTCGCGGTCGGAGAAGCTGTTGCCGGAGTGTTTTATTGAGCCCTCGGTGAAACATTTCTCTCCCCCACCCCCAGCTACTGCTGGTGGCTGGGTTAGGAGGGAGCTTTCAAGGGCCCGGAGAGCGTCTGCCCGGCAGGTTCCCCAGTGGCGCCCCCAAATCGCTCCACCTTTCGGTTCGGAGCAGTGCGCTCTCCATCAGGCGTGACTTCATTCATTCAGCGCCTGGTTCTGCAAGGGCCGGAGCCAAAGCCCGGGGAGCATCTGGCCCTTGACTGGAGCTTTGGATCAGGGCTCAAGTGCCCCTCCTGTGTGGCTTCAGGTCATAGGGCGGCTTTAGTCCATTTGAGTCCTAAAGGCGCCCAGTGGAGGGGGCTGGGGCAGGTAGGGAGAGGCCTAGACCCTCCTTGAGTCCTTTCAGGCGGGGGAGGCTCAGGGGACTTGCATTCTGCCCTCTGTTCATCGCAAGCCAGCGGGCTCGGGCTGGGTCCTGACCCTGGATGCTTTGGGCACGGCACGGTCCCTCCGCGAGGAGGCTCAGGCACCTCCTGCAACACACTTGGCTCCCCCTGCTCCTGGCACCTGGCAGGCAGGACCCATAGAAGTGGGGCCCCCTGCTTCTAACCCGGCGCCTGGTCCCGGGGGGTTACGGTGGCTCCTCCCTTTCCCCAGCCCTACTGTGCCCAAACCCTGGGGCTGGGTACAGAGCCCAGCAGGCACCCACCTCCGTTGCGAGCCTCGGCCAGGCACCTGTGCAATAGCTGGTGTATGGCTCCCCCCGCCCCTGCCTCTCTGTGCGGCGCCTCCTGGCGCAGTGGGGCCAGACCCGAGGGGCCAAAGCAGATGCTGAAGGCCCAGCTCGGTCCAGGGTCTTTGCTGAGCTGGGTCCTGCATTGGCTGAACTGCAGCCCCCCCCTCGGGACAGATTTGGCCTGGGAGGGTGCAAGGGGCCCGTCCCTTTCTGTGTGACAAGTGGCTCTTCAGGCCTCGGGGCAAAAGAAGGGAAAGGTGCCCCGGAAACCACCCACGTTCCCAGCCGGGCAGCTGGGGTCCCAGCAGGTCTGCACAGACTCACCCCCCAGCGCAAAGGCCTCTCCTGCGGGAATAGCCCCTGCCTGCCCGGAAGGCCCTGCGGCTAGAGAGCCATGCTCTTTCGCTCCCGGGCCTGGGCCGTGCTGGGGCAGAAGCACGGGGCCCAGCCAGCAGAGGCGGAAAGTTCCCCTGGGAGTCGTCGGTCCTATCCCCACTGGGGTTTGTAGCCACCAATGCTGCCAAGGGAGTTCAAACCAGGGCGCAGAGGTGTCTGCACGCCAGCCTGGCTACAGCTGTGGCTGAAAGGCCGGGCCGTTCCCGGCTTGCCCAGGGAGCAACTCCCTCACAGAGGGGCCCAGGGCTGCCATTTGAGCGCACCCTCGACTGCAGGAACGGCTCCTGGGGCTTCCCAGGAGCGTGGGGATGCTCCAGGAAGCCGGTTCCCAGGGAATGTCCAGCCCACGGACACCAGCCCAAAGCGGGGGCCGACTGCTGCCGGGGCTAGTGTAGCAGGGGCCCGGAGTTAGGGATCCGGGCGGGAGAGGTGTGAAGGCACCGAGTGTGTCCGGGGGCAGAGGGGGAAGGTTGAGCTGGAGAGAGAAGGCCCTGGATTGAGCTGTGCCCGTCCCCTCCCACAGTTGCCCAGAATTGCAGAGAGACGGCAGGGGCATGGCGGCTTGTCCCAGTTGCTTCCAGGCGCGATGCCCGCCAGGGGGAGCAGGGGCACCCGTCAGCCTGGAGCTATTGCTTATTCGGGCTGGCTGGGGAGGCCCTTTCCTGTCCTGCCGGCCACATGCCCCCCCAGAACAGAGGTTCCCCACCAGGGATCTGGGGGGTGGTGAGCAGGTGGCGGGGAGGGAGCACCAGAATAAACCAGAGCACGGCCGGCGTTAGACTGCCCCAGGCCAAAAGCTCGAGCCCCAGAGGCACGGGGAGTAGGAGTCGGTTTTACACAGGGCTCTCAGCTGCCAGCCCCACGCCCGGGGCTCCTGGCCTCACGGGGCCCATCTTCCTGCCATGGCTCAGGTCTCAGCCCCCAGTCCCTAGCCATGACCCCCCCCTTATTCCTTTCCATGTCCCCCCTCTTAGAGCCACCGCTCTGCTCCTGGCTGCAGCTCTGGGGAGGGCTGGGGGGTGCAGACATTAGAAAAGGGGGGGCTCGCCCCCTCACCCCTAAAAGTTCTGGCACCAGTGGTCAGGCTGTGTGAAGCTGACACCCAAGCAGCTTAGTTTGGTGGGGCGAAGCCACCAGGCCATTGCTCGGCTCGCTCCCCTGGCTGTCGATCTGCTGGCTATGTGGAAATCCAGTGTCTGTGACACGGGAGGGCAGGGGAGTTCTTGGGGCATGCTGGGGGGCTTTGGAAAGAAACACTTTGCCTCCCCTGCCATCGAACATTGCCCACGGGTGGGGTGTGTGTGTGTGTGTGTGTGAGGGAGGTTTGAATACAGCTCATCCTCTCGGGTCTCTGGGCCTGGCTCACATGCATGGCTACCACCCTGTCTCTGGGGCCAGGTGGAGGTGGGGGAGCAGATTTCAGACCCTTGAAATGTAGCATTTGAACCTTTCCAAGCTCCGAGTCTCTATTCTGCTGCTTGGGGAAGCGGGGTGAGAGAGGGCAGGGATACCCCAATAGTTGAGAATTCAATTATTTCTCATTGGGAACAGGTGAGGGTGGGAATGTAGTAAACAACTAGACCAGGGGGCGGGGAACCTTTTTTGGGTGTGGGGCTGCTGACCCACAGAAAACTCAGTCGGGGGG